AGCATTAATAAAAATTATATGAACCATCATAAAATTCCCTTTTTATATTCCAAACCAAATTAAACATTTAGTTTAATTAAACATGCTCTCAATCAAGCCAATAATAAAAGTGTGGTTCATAATCAACATGCCAACATAATTAATTCCAATCATCAATTCACCACAAATAATCCATACTTCACAAATTAATCACCAACATCAATACAATCAACAATTCCAACCAATACCTATCATGATACTACCTTGGAATTAATTAAACAAAGCCTAGCATGCTTCTACACACTTAAATAATTACCAAGTACGTGAACGTACCTCAAATATGATCTCAAAATCGCCACGACTATACAAAATCACTCACTTGGAGGTCTCCTACAACCCAAAATTATAAAGAGACATTAATACCTATTCGTAATAAATTTCCAGCAATATATACACACTTTAAATCACTTTTAAACCTTCTTAAACATGCTGAAAATTAATTTAAAACACCTACTTTTATTCCCAATTACTGGGTAATTAAAAATCTTTTCAAGAAACATAATTTTAGCCTTTATATAAAAAATTCCAACATTATAAAAACTCATAAGCTTTCTGTAATTTTGTTTTAAAAAATTAATTTCAATAGTTTTAATCAACTACAATCAAATTCCATCAATAAACATTTATTTAGAAACCTAGGGTTTTCAATTTAGGGCTTTTTAATTCAAAAACCAAATCTGAAAATTATATATATATTAATCATTATTAAAACATCATAAAATCATCACACACACCCAAAAACAACAATTAATCAAGGTTGGAATAATTTAAAACAAAAGAGAGAGAGTTTTTTTTTTAAACACAACCGCACGCATGGGAGGGGGTTGATGCTGGCGGCGGTGGCCGACCGGTGGGAAGTGGTGGTGGCGGCCGGCCACCTTAATTGTGTGTGCGTGTGAGTGTTGTGAGGGAGATGGGGAAATTAAGGAGAAATAGAAAATAAGAGGAGAGAGAATGAGAGTTTACCTTTGGGTATTTTCCACCTTAGGCAAAGTCTAATTTGCTCATATGATGGGTATTTATACCCTCTCTCAAAACCCTCCTAACTTAAATTCCCTTTTTACCCTTAATGATTCCTTCTCCTATTCAAACTAGTCATTGACTTTCTTTAAAATACCATTGACCTTAAAACTTCCTTTATATAAAATAATTATGCCCCAAAGTTTACAAATAATAAAAATAAAATATTTACAAATTAATTAAATAAATAAAAATGGACTTTTAATTAAAATAAACCTTTTTAATTTATTAAAATACCATATAATTCATTTTGAATTATTTAAATACTTCTTAAAATAATGTTTTAAATTAATATACGTATAAAAATGCAGGGTATTATAGCTACATAAGTAAAATCATCTCCTATACCCACATGCAATCTACATTATTTAATACCAATATACTATCCTTTTTCCCTAAAAAAATTATAAAATAAAATAATAAAATAAAAAAAAACTTCATTTAATGTTAACTAAGAGTACTATGCTTTTTAACCCAAGGTACTAAGTTTTTGGTGATAATTATTTGTTTTGACCGGATTTCACTATTGAGTACAAAAACGGTGAAAAAAAAAAAAAAAAAAAAAAAAAACATGAGTACTCAACCGGTGAAAATGTTAAAACATAGTACCTCTTTGGGGCTTAACTCATGAAGAAAGAAAGGAAAGAAGTAAGGGAAAAAACAAGCGGTTATCTTTGTATGAGTAAAAAACGAAGAAAAGTTTGGAGTTTGAAGGTCTTGGAAGGTCAAATCATCAACACCAAGAACTTGACCGGAAAACTCAAGCAAACGGACGAAATCTTCAAATTACGCGGCGGAGCTCTTGGAGATTAGGGAAGAAAGTTACTTTCTCTCTCTAAAAGTTCTGACTTCTCTCTAGAAAACACAAAAATCCAAATTGTTTTTATGAAGTCAAACCAGTCCTATTTATAGGCAAATTTATGGGGGCAAAATGGTAAAATCACCTTTCCCGCCCAAGAGACCAAACGTCCCTTTTCAAAAGTTGACCTAGAAGCCCAAAAAGTTATATTAAATTATTCCGTCAATAAAGACGGAGAAGACGTACGGTTATCATAACGGCTCGTCAAAATAAACGACCAGGTCAGCGAATTTAAATCGTTGGCCCGAAGAATATGGAAGACAGGTGTCAAACCTGATGTCAGACGGCACCATCTATCTGCCTGATTTCAAGACCTAAGTCCAAATTGAAATCTAGCAGACAACTGAAGGCAAATAGCCCAAAAAATCCTTTCTGGCTTCAGGCGGACAATTAAATCTGCCTTTTCCAGCTGATAATATAAAATACTCAAACGCTCGAATGATGGTGTACGAATGTAATTTCAGAGGAGGCGGCTCAAGAGGTCCAAGCCACCCCCTCTGAGGGGCAAATGTTTAGGGTAAAAATACCTCATCACGTGGTCCAATTCTATAGTGACACGTGGCCCAATGAAAGGGCGGCACGTGTCCTAATAGGAAGACGACACGTCAAAAAATATAAGAGCACCTTAAAAAGAGAAGGCCTCATTACATCAGGATGCCCAATTCCCGAGATAAGCGTTAAATTTAGGATACGTGTCCTAACCTGATTGCGCCGCCAATCAGCACCCACCATTCTAGGTCATCAAACCCTAGAGGGCACACATTCTCACCCCTATAAATACCCAAATCATTAATGATGGAAGGGGTGGATTAAGACATATCATAAGAAAATGCATAAAAGTGCTCTAACTTCTTTCTACTTTCTCTTTCTATATACTTTCATTTTCCAGTTACTAACTTGATCGTCGGAGGTGAATATTCAGTCAACCGGAATATTCGTTGTTTTGCAGGTGTCTACGATTGTCTGGACATATTCACGACCTATATCTCAAGGAATTCCAAAAAACCACGAAACACTACTTATTATAAAGAGATTAAAAGTAGAGGTGATCAAGGGCTGGGTTGAGCCGGGTTCAGGGTGGGCTAAATTAGAAGGCTAAAAAATCAGTTTGTTAAGTTGAGACGAGCCAAACTTTGGGTTGAAAATGCTTATCGAAAATGCGTAAACCTGTCTGTTATCCTCTCTGTCTTATGCTTTCTTCCAGTTTCCTATTGAAGCGCACTCCACGTTTTCCACTGAGGCGCCCTATGATAATTTAATCCTCCATTGAAGTAGCATTAGGTTGTTGATTCTTTTGTAAACATTCATATCTATGTTCCACAAGTTGAAATCTAATGCAATTGAACTAGGGGAATATGTAATCCTTAACTTCTGTTGTGCCCCCTTATTAAGATGACATTTGTGGTGTGAGCTAGCTTAAGGATTTGTTGAAGAATTTTGACACTAACACATTGTTTAGATTGAGAGAATTGGAGGAAAAGGAAGAGAAAAGAAGAAATCCTCCCTTCTTTGAATACCTTTTGAGTTTTGATAGTAGGGAAGAAAAGAGAAATTAAATGATTCATTTTTTCTCTCTCTTTAATAAACCAAATCCTTCCAATATTGGAAAGATTTGGAGGCAAAATGTAGCCTTATTTTCTCCCTCCCCTTCCATTCCTCCCCCTTCCTTCTTCCCCCCCCCCCCCCCTTCCCTTTCTCTTCCGATTTGCTATCCAAACAAACCGTAATGGAAAAGTTTAATGCTTTTCTTATTGTATAATATTATTTTAGCTAATTTGTCTTTCTTTGAGGTTTTAGCTTAAGGTGATAAACTTGTATTTTCTCACGCATTGACAACCACAATCTACAATTACTATATTATGAGAAAATACAAATTTATCTTTGTGATAAACTTGCAAATATATCTAAGGTTTGTTTGTTTTTTTTTTTTTTTTTTTTTGTCACTTCTCAAGTTAAAACAAGGGTATTTTCACCATTTCTAAGAAGAGAAGCTTTAGAATAACTTCGAAAGAGGTCGGAGAATTCAAGATGACAAAGCAGCTCATGAGCATTGTGGCCACCATCAATGGTGAAATTAATATAAGAGGGAAATCACACTAATAGTGAAAAACAAATACCTTCCCTCTATACGTTGTTTGGATTGAAGGAAATGGAGGGAAATGAAGGGAAAAGGAAGGATGAAGTATCTTTCATTTAGATAACAAATGAAGAAGGAAAAAGATTAAAGGAGAGAGAAATACATGGATTAAATTGTAAAAAATTGATCTTTTTAACAATGGGAAGATTTGGAAGGAGAACTTATCACTTTTCCCTCCCCTTCCTTTCCCTTCCCTCCTCTTCTTTTCCTTCCCCTTTGTTCATCCATACATCCCTTAGGGTTAACCGTTCGCTTAATTTCTATACTTTTTCTTAAGGTTTTCGTTGTATTTGGTGACGTAGCTACCAAAAATGGTGGTTTTGGGTTTTGGTGTTCTCCATTGGAGCAACTTGAAATAGAAAACAAAGAAGATGAAGGTGAGCTAGGATTGAAGGAGGAAGGTGTTCTCCATTGGTGGGTGGGGATTGGAAGAAGAAGGAAGAAGAATATGAAACCATGGAGGTGGGTCACGATGGGGGAGGAAGAGGATGAAGATGATTTTTTTTTTAATTTTAAATTTTTAGAATGTTTATCTAGAAACTTAGGCTTTTTCCTGGACTCTCGTTTGTCTAAATCAATAATTACTCTTGTAATCAATGACAATAATAAGTGTCCGTTAATACTTTCAGACCTCATATTGGTACAATATTTTACCAACACGAAATTTAAATATACACAATGGACTATTGTCGATAATTATTATTGTCGATAATCTAAAAATAACTAGTTTTTAGGAACGGACGATGCCCGAGTTACTGCATTATTTCTATGATAAAAATCTTTATTAATATTTAATTTTTATTAAATGTCATGTAATATGGTAATAATTTAATGGCTAACACCTTATAATTTAAACTTAAAACTGTAGGTTTAAATCTTATAAGAACCACATAGAGTGAAAATCGGATTTAAATAAGGGAGTTGCCACATGGCTTAAAAAAAATAAGCAGGTTCCTCCCCTCCTATATTATTCTCCATATCTTCAATGATTCCCAATTACATAATCAAATAACAACAAATCTATTCAAAATTACAAATTGCCAATATTGTGTGAGATATCCAAATTACGCCCAACGACTCCTCTTTTTCTCTCTCAATTAAAGCTACCAGGAAATCACCATTGAAGTTCACCTACAAATCATATTCATATCTCAACCTTGAAGCTCCACCATTGTTCTCTCTTCATCTCTCAGGTTCTTTTATGTAATTCCCTCTCCTTTTAATTCTCATACTTTTCATTTTATTTCTAAATTCATCATTCAGTTTATAATGCCTTTCAGTTAATTTCAATTTGCGATTTCATTCAACATTTTCTTGAATTTTTTGTATAATATATGATTAAACCCTAGTATAAATTATACTTGTATGTCGTAATGTATATTGATTATTGAATCAATCAGGATCATTATCATTATTGTGTATCACATCATCTTTCTTGGTTTATGACTATGTATTTTGGTCTTACTTTGGTAAAGGTTGAGATCTTTGAATTTGATTTCCATATATCATGTTTTCAACGTAGTATTTCATTTGACAACGAAAACTCGAAACACTCAAGAGTCAAGACCCTCTTGTTTAGGTTACTTTCTGCCTGTTGTAGCTGATTTGCAAATTGGGGCTTCTGCAATAGCGTTATGAAGACAATATTCTAGTGTAGGAGCTGCTCGTTTGCCAGACATATCATCATGATATTTTAGTCTAGGTTTACATTGTATCTTCATGGTCAAGCTTCTGCTTGTTCTGAAATTCAATGTTGAAAACTAGATACAATGATATCGATTCTTCTTCTATTTACTTGGCTCTTTTGCTTATTGTATCACACTTCTATTTTCTGATTTGTTTATCACGGGGGCATGGTAAAAATGGGCAAAACCGCTACTTGAAGTAGCGGTTTATCCCAAAACTTGTTTATCATGGAGATTGATTGGGGCGGCCTCCTCCTTTATGCACTCATGGAGTCATGGGTAGTGTACTTTGTATAACTATTAACATGCTTTGCATGTGTTTTGTTTTCCATCTTTTACAAAGATGACTCCTGCTTGTTATTCTTGTGATGACTAATAGTTGCTGGCACTGCTAAATTTTGCAAGCTATAGGTACCTCTTGATTGTTGAATTTGGCGCAACTATGCTACAATTTGTGTTCGTATCAATAACTACTGGTCTGATTATGAAAAATCATTATGCAGCTCTGTAGGATATGTTGGGATCAAAGTGGAAGCACTTGGGAGAACTCAAAAATAATGCTATGGAAAACACTTCTAATATTACAGTTGATTCGGATTTGTGTGGAGAGGATGGTTGGACTATTGTTAAGAAACAGAGAGTTAACATTCTAATACCCCGTCTTCCCAGTACTGAACAGTCTTCAGTGCCTGATCTTGAACAAGGTCAGCTGCGTGGAAGTTTGTCTTGCAATATGACTAATAATCCATCAGAGCTTCCGCTGGAGAAGCCTCTGAAGGCAAATTTTATTGAGGGAAATGATGGATCACTGTCTTTGTCTTCGAAATCAAATACTCAATCTAGTGCAAAAGTTCATTCCCCTGTAGATAATGCAGTAGCAATTCTGAATTCACGAAAGCCAGTTTTGAGGAGACTGGCTTTGGAGGACCAAGTAGGTGCTTCGAGATCCTTTTCTGGAAAGACAGAAAATCATCTGAAATTTCGTAAAACTTCTCCAAAGCTTGTCAGAACTTTCATGCAACCTGAGCTCTCTGTTATTTGCACACCGTCTATTACCATCAAATATTTCAATAAGAAGACGCGGGCATCAAATCTTGAAAGAAACATAATAAGTGCGGGTGGATTGGGCAAGTGGCTTTCTTCTCTTGGACTGGAGCAATTTGAGGGAATTCTCCGTGCTAAAAATGTCAATAAATTTCAGTTGGTAGATCTGTCTATGAAGAAGCTAAAGGATATGGGTGCTCATGCTGTTGGACCTAGAAGAAAGTTGATTCATGCTATAGAGTGTGTTTGTCATCCATACAGTTTTGAACCTTTCAAAAAATTTCAGAGTCAATTGAGATAGTGATAGTAACTCAAAGCTCATGTACTCTACGCGTATGTTGACGTTTCTATTTCCTGGCATATTGTGTAGTTGGGCAAAAAATATGCTCTATGAAGCTGATGTATCCAATGGTGTGTATACAAGTATTACAGTAAGATTTAAGCAAGTTCTACCCAATATGAAGCTTATTTTGTATTACTAGAATCTAAATAGTCTAATTTTGCATTTAACTCCATTTAAAATCAATCAACATTTAGTGCTGTGTTATCATTATACTACTACAATTTTAAGACCATCTTAGCCATACATGGAGTCATTTATATTTAGAAGTACTTGCCACTTTTATGAAGCATATATGGTTATATTATTAGACTATTAGTAGTTTACTACTCATTCTTGCTGCATGGTGCCTTCGGTTTATTTAATCGTTTAGGTGATATTTTGCTCTAAAGCTTTTACTGGTGTGTAGCAATATGTTTACGCACAGTGGACTCTTTAGGTCTCACCTTAGTATAAGGTTGTGGTTGCACCATGTCATTTATTTACAGGTATCTTTTGCGTTACGAATTTCCCCTCCTTGGCTATCAGATTCTGCAGTTTTCAAATGACGATATGCGCTGATGCGCTTGATTAATACTATTGCCTGCTACTTGAGAGCAGCCTGCATAGCATAGGATTGCTCAAGTGCAATCCACTTATTGCACGGTTATGCAGTGATGATGAACTGCATTACTAACAAATCTGAGCAGGACCTCCTGATTTTTAACAGCATTCTATGGAGTTTGTATCAAATGTTATATGTGTACAATCTATTAACAGTAACTTTTGCAGAAATTCTTGGTCAGGCACTCAGGCATATGATACAATTACCTTTTATTTGGCTATCTTATTTATGTTTAGGCTAGATTACCCTGGACCCTGGTAATAAAAAAAGGCTAGAATATAAAAATGTAATAGATGACACAGCAAAAATAGGAGCATTAGGAGAATTGAACTCGGGACCTCTTGCACCTTAAGCGAGAATCATACCACTAGACCATATGCCCAACACGTGACAACAATTTTGTATCACGCATACTGTAAAATTCTAAATCCTTGTTTTTTTTCACTTTTTCTTCCATTTTTGCATCAATGTTCTTGATGTGGTGCCCAAGACATTTATTCAATCTTATAACGCTCTTGAATGACTAGTGTTACTTGTTTTTTGTTCCATTTTTGCACCAATGTTCTTGATGTGGTGCCCGAGATATTTATTCAATCTAATAACACTCTTGAATGACTAGTGTTAATCGTTTGAATTTTAGTTCTAGGTCTTGTAATCTTTGCCTCAAACAAATAGTCTAACTAAAGTAAAAATTAATTTAGTTGTCAGGATTCCGAAAACTCAACTCAACAAAGCTAGTAGCCCTGACTAATCTGGAGTACCATGATATCGAATGATGTATAATGTATTCATTATGCTTATTGCTTACTATACATGGATTGTGTTCTTGCATTACTCAGTCATATCAATCAATAACTATTTATACATAAATTAAAGATTTGATGTATCCTTGACAACTATGTTTGAGTATTTTTATAAAATAATATAGTGTATTAGAAGCTCCCAGAAAATAATATGAATATTAAAAATTACTTAAAATAAAATATTTGATATATTCTTCCACAATAAATATTAACAACTACGGAGTATAAATTTAAGAAAAAAAAATAAAATCGGATTCTTAAATGTGACATATTGAGTGTAACGTACTACGTTTATTACAACACCAATTTACTTTCTACAAAATTTAAAATAGAAATCTATTTACGGATTAAATACGTATTACATAGTTTTAAGAAATTCATTTGGTTAATAAGGAAAAAAAAATACCAATTTGTTGGTGAAATATACAAAAATATATAAACATAGTCAAATGCGTATATTAAAATACCTATCTGACTAAGAGGCTCTTTCATAATAAATTCATTATAATATTTTAGATAATTTATGTTCTTTTTAATTAAATTTAGTTTAAATTTAAGAAAAATTATCGCGCATAGCACGGGACCTAACCTAGTAATCATATAGAATACAGTCCAAAGAAGAAAGTAAAGGAAACACTCGGAAAAAAAACGTTTAAAAATAAATTGGTGAATAAAATAAAGGGGCATTCCGAGAATCGAACTCGGGACCTCTCGCACCCAAAGCGAGAATCATACCACTAGACCAAATGCCCTTATTGTAAAATTATTAATCTTGTAATTCCATAATTTGTATAACACTAACAAAATTTGACAATTTTTTGTTCTATTAGCATTTCTTATCTTTGAATGAAATTAAATTTGAGCAACTGTTATACTCCAACATTCACCGTTTCTTCTCTCTCCTCCCCGAAAACTCACTTCTACGTGGAGACCCGTCGAGAATTTCAAGTAAGTAGTCTTCTTACACTTTTCAGAACTATTTTCTTCGGGTTATTTTTGTTCTTTTTTTAGGTTATAATTTCTCGAATTTTTTTTAGCTAAATTGAATTGCTACTGTATAGTCTCCAACAGAAGTTTGCTCTATCTATCCTTTTCATTTTTTTTCTTTTTTACAAATGATATTTTTGATGATTTATTGCATGTTTAGTTCAAATTATCTTATCTAATTTTGGTGAATGTATTTGTCTTTAATTTGTTGCTTGTAAATTGGTAATTGATTGCATTTTCACTTCGTAAGGTAGTGTTATAGCCGTTTCTAATATTTTGGTGGCCCGGGGCAAAATGATAATACTTTTGTTGAATAAATTATTTATTTTTATAATTATAAATATTTATGTAATTTGTTAATTCATAAATAATGTTAATTACTTCATCAGTTATTTTAATTGCATTATTTACACTTTTCCACTATTCACTCACCTCTTTTGAATTTCTTTTGTGATTTAACCGTTAGAATATTATATTTTTAAATATCATATTTTTAAATTTTTATATGTAATAATTTATTGCATTCACCCCTTAATTTCGTGATTAATCTATTTATTCTACGTTGGAATCCTTCTTTGACTCAACTCATTCTATAAAAGAATATTAAATTTACTTGTCCCAATCTATAAATATGAGTGAGTAATAAATAATAATCATGTTTTATAAATAATAAATTTAGCTCTTTCTTATTAAATTGAATTAAGGTTACATTAATTTTTTTTTGTTACTTATAATTAAATAATTACATGATTCAGTTCACTTTTAATAAATGTATCATGTAATAATTAAATTATCACTTTTTATCATGCTTGTAAACAGGTTATTAAATAGAATTTATCAAACAATCTAAAAATCATAATCTTCTTATAATGATGTCACTTCAATTTTCAAAGTATATAAAATACCTAATATGATACTATGCGAGTATTAAAAAATTCATACATGCATACATACTAAATAAAATTATGGTGAATAGTCACAACCACTAAAAATCATCTCACTCGAATTCTTCTATATCGTAAGAATAATTATTGTTAAAATAAAATTGCATGATTAAAATAATCTAAGCCTAAAACAAGTAAAAAAAACCTTCTCATGTGAGAAATAAAAACTTGTAGGAAAACTTCTGAAACGACTACTATTATCAGTAACACATACACATCTAAATCCCTTCTAATTCAAAGTGGAATCTCGATTTTGATAACTTTGATATAAATAATTACTATAAAAAATAACATTTATTAAGATATCTTTATTTAACTACAATTATAATAAATTATTTTATAATAAATTTAGACATTTAATGCAAGAAAAATAATCCCTCCATTTTTTAAAGTGCGCATCACTTTAATAGGCATAATTTTTAGGAGATTGACTTGAATTCATATGCACAAAACAATTGATACATTGTATAAAATTTCATAGTATCAACTAATTATATTAAATATACGATCAAAATTTTTAAAGGTAAAATAATTTTATATATCAACAAAAATATATATTAAAGTGTTTCAATTACTTTAGGATGTTATTTTTTTTTTGACAAAAACTTTAGGATGATTAATTTTGTAGGGTACCCCTCCGTTTCTTTTTATTGGTTATTATCATATTTTAAATATTATTCTTAATACTTCCTCCGTTTCTTTTTATTGGTTATGTTTAGATTTTAAACATTATTCATAATACTCCCTCCGTCCCAAAATATATGAGACGTTGGACTTTTTTCACTATTCATGTATTAGTTTTGATCATAATTTTTTACTAACATAATAAAAACTTATTTTATCATAAAATATGTTGTTAAATAGTTATATATATAAAGTTTTAAAATATAATTTTTAAAATAACTTTCATTAATATTTAATTATATACAAATAAAGTTAAAGTAGTGCATTGACATGTGTGCAATGCTGACTGTGTCATGTATTCTGAGATAGAGAAAGTATTAGATAATCTTCAAATTTACTCACAAAAGTAAAAGAGTCATGTGAGATTTTGATTCATCTCAACGAATGCTCTATTAATATTCAATCGTTATAATTTTAAAAAGTATGTAATGAATAATAATCAAATAGGTGTATTGACAAACGTGTAAAAGTCAAAATGTATCCAATAAAAGGGACAAAGGGAGTATTATACTTTAGATATAGGGTAATTTTGTGAAAATTTAAGAAAATTTTACCACCAACAACTACCATTAAAATGACTACTTTGAGAACAATAACTACCATTTATTTATTTATTTTTTTTGTAAAAAAAAAAATCTAACAAAATCTACCACAAAAACCTTGAGTAACACAAGTACATTTAATTTCTTGGCAATAATCTCCAATTGAGGGGGCTAAAAAATCGGCCGTTTCGACGATGAGGGAAGGAAAGAGGGGCGGTTTCATTGACCTGAGAAGGGAGGGGCTATTTTGGGATGGGGGAAGGGGGGTGGTTTCGATGGTGTAGGTGGGTCGCCCGAGTGGTTTTAGGGGTAGGGAGGAGCCAACCGGCTGTTATCGGTAGTTAGGGGAGGCGGGCGGTCGAATTTCGGTCGAGCTGAGGGTTAGGGCTAAGAGGAGGAAGGATGGTGGATGGGAAGAGTTTTTAATTTTTTTTTTCTTGTTTTATAAAAAAAAAAAAAAATTGGACCAATTATGTTGTGACACATCACACATGGTTTTTACAAAATAATATTCACCCTTTCTTTAAGTTACTGGTAAATCGACCTAGTGGAAGAAAATCAACCCAAAAGTTCATAGTGCTCCATAATAAATGTAAGTTGGGATTATTGAGAGTAAATCGCTGAAAGTTCGGATTAATAAATTAAAGTGAATTTTTCTAAAAAATAAAACTTAGATTTTGGAAGCACCCAATATAATAGATTGAATAAGCGAAGACAAGTCGAATTCAGGGTTAATTGGAGGATGAAATGGAGTCGTTTGACTCTTGGAATTGCCCTTTTTAATCTTTTTAATTTTAATAAAAATGTGTTCCTTTAATGGAAGTGGTGTTACTTATGTTTGTTGGGAGATGTAGCAAAATTTCAATTTCAGATTTACATAAACCCTTGTTGAAGGAGGATGGTAGTAGGTGTTGTTAAACCCATTTATATGTGATAATGGTAAAAGTCATTACAACATCATAACCTTGTATGAGAATATATACTTCCTACGTCCCACAATATAATTTCTGTTTTCCTATTTTAGAGACCCAAAATATTGTTCCTGTTTCTATTTTTGAATAGTATGTAAAGACCATTATACCCTTATTTTTTTACTTTATTCATTGAACTTCCTAACTTACCCTTAACTTATCCACTTACATTGTAATTTTTTCACTTTCTCTCTCTAACTTTTGTCTATAATTGTACTTTTCACTTTTTTCCCCTTAAATTATCCACTTGCCTTGTACTTTTGTCTAGCTTTTTTTTCCACTTCTCCTCCCATTTCTTAAATATCGTGAAAAAAAACACAATAGGAACTATATTATGGGACGGAGGGAGTATAAGATATGGTTTTGTCAGATCGCAAGAAATGTGATTGACATGTATGAAGCAGATCTCAAGAAAATTTTATCCATTTGAATTATTGGGGTCCCTTAGGGTAAGGCATACTGATTTTGGGTTGTCTCCTTCATTTCAGCAACATTCATAGACTTTTAGTTGTATGTTAGAAAATACCTTGCACAACACGAAACATTATCACCATCTTCCCTTATTTTATCAATTGTCCCATCGCATGTTTAAATGTATATTGGTAAGCCTTATATGCGTTGTCTTCACTCGTTGTAATAGCTTAAAGGAAAATATCGTTAATGACCTTAATTAGTATTGTGTAATAGCTTCTTATGCCAATAGTAACTTATGTTACTTTACTGTCCTTTCGTTTGTTGTAAACTCAGTTTAATTAATGTAAGTTCAGCTTTTTTTTTTTTTTTTTTAAAAAAAAAATCTAAAAAACTTACAATGAATTGATACAAGCTTTGGTGTATGGAAATATTAAAAACTAGGTTAGGTCTCGTGCCATGCATGCCAATTTTAAGAAATTAATATCAACTGTTCAATATAATTGGTTATTATACAATAATAAAACAAAAAATCTAAAAACACTATGGACAATCTTTGATTAAAATATGAAAGATAAGTGGATATATCTAATAAGTATAAATTGAATAATTTGATATTCTTAAATACAAAGTAATAAAATCGTCTATTAAGTAATTGAAATATTGATGTGTAGATATTGTATTCAAATATATAATTATATATAGTATCAACATGTTTTGGATGAGGGCAATAAATAATACTGTAATATTGATCTTCATGAGATTTTTGTGTGTGTTTATATTAACATTATGAAATATAGTCTAACTAATTTTTATATATTAAGGTAGTAAATAGTAATGTTTCTATAAATAAAATGAAATAATTTAATACAGTAACTCATTTTCACTTAGAGAAGGGAAAGATCGGGATTATTATCATTCAAGGGGTAGTAAATGTATATGCACTACTTTATTGTGAATTCTAATCAATAAATAAACAATTGTAGGGGAAAAAAATATAAATACTCTCGTGTAGTAAATCATTATATGTCGCAAATCATATTAATATTTTCTATTATAGTCATAAATGTTTGTGTGAAAAGGTAAAACAAATCTTTTATATTTAAAGTAATTATCTTTGTTATTTAAATATATAATAAATTATTTTCGTATAAGATTTTATTCTATAATTGCAATTTTTAAAAAATAAAATAAAATTAAGGACACACCAAGAAATTACACGTGTTTAAAACATGTTTACTTAAAACCTTTATAAAGTCCACCTCTCTCATAATTTGACGAGCATATAAAAATTCGTCCCATTTATTTATCAGATCCATGTTATAGCTACGGCGGGTCATGGCTTTTAAAGGCCTCATTCCTATTTCCTACCTCTCTGGGTTATTTCATTGAAGCGCACTCAACTCAACGTTCTCCATTGAAGCGTTCTCCGTTGAATCTAATTCTTGTATCCCCCATTGAAGCAGCCTCTAAGGTAAGTTGTTTGTTGTTATTATCATCACATCAATTTCACAATCTAGGGTTTATATTTGATCTAATCTAATTTAATTATCAGTGCTTTAAGTTTAGGGTTCATAAATTCTTAGATTATGAAACATCATATCCAAACGAACAGAAAATTATGAGCGTAATTTGATTATTGAATCAAACATCCCTAAAATTATGTATTTTTCGAGATAATTCAATATGAAATTAAATCTCTTTTCCCTGGGCCTAGGGCGGCCGCCCCTCCTTCCCTGCCTCAGGGACGGGCCTGGGTAGTGTTTGTAGGATTTTTGTAATTTGTTTTTTGGGTTATAGCCTTATTGTATGTTTTGCTCAATCTCTCCCTCTCTTTCCTTTCCATCCCCTTCTTTATACTTCCCTCAATTCAGTTTCCCTTCATAATTGCTATCCAAACATAGGGGTTTGGTTAACATAGGAAGTGAAAATTCTCATGTACTTCTAATATATGGGAATTAAATTCCATAATCAAATTCATGGGAATTTCTTATAATTGTTTGGTTGGTAATGAGAGAAGTAAATTCCCATGGGAATTTCAACTTACGGGGGACTAGGTAAGTAAATTCCTACATTTTGTGAGAATTGAAAATTCCTAGGAAGTTCTACTTCCACCATTTCACCAAATTTTATTCAACCAAACAACTTATCCATTTTGCAATTCCTAGGAACTTCCAATTCCCATGATTTTTTATGTAAACCAAACAGCACCATAGTGTAAGTGTGTGATTGGATAGAGTGATTTAGAGGGAAAGGGAGGGAAGTGAAAGAGAGATTCAAAATCCCTTGTTTTGATATGATTTTGGGGAGAGTTATAGGAAGAAAATGGTGGGATCCAATTTTTTCTTCTCTCGCTCCTTACAATGTTGGAAAGATTTAAAAGGATAGTTTAGCTCTCTTGTTCCCACCTCTCACATTCTTTCTTTACAATCTCCTTCCATTCACAATAGCTATCCTCCTATCCAAACATAGTGTAAGAGTAAAAAAGAACTTTTTGTAACATTTCTAAGTTGATTATATTTGCATGACATCAAAAAAGTTGAAACGAATTAATGATGGAAAGAGGAAAAAAAAAAGAGAAACAGTGGCATTATTATTGTTGACCAATGCTTGGCAAGCACGGTAAAGAAAGTCATAAAATTTTTTTATACTCTTATGTGTTCTTCTGTTTTCTCCTTGCCTATACTTACATTCGACTTATTTACTGATAAATGGCGTGAGGTTGTGATCCTGGATGATGAGGTTGGAATTTTCTGATTGAATCTCTAATACAAAGGAGTAGGAGATAAGTATCTGAAGATGACCTTTAAAATTTTATTGACAGGTGCAAGTTGGCTAGATCCCAATTCCCAAATGAGGATGAAAGATGCAAATGTGAACGTGTAATGTGTTATAATTAGACTTTCCAACTGATAGGTCAGCATGTCATACAGCTGCTGCTGTGTAAAGCCTGTGCCTGCAGCTTCTCTTCCATTGTCTAGGTTTTCTATTCCCCAAAACCTATCTCTTTCACCAACGACAACCAGAAGGAATTGCGTCATCAGATTCAGCCCTGACAAGTCCTTGCACTTTGTCAGATGCTGCTCCACGGATGCCTTTGTCGTTGTGAATGATAACAAGTATGGGAACAAACAAGTTGTTAGCTTGACTCCGAGGCTCTATGATTATGTCCTGAGCAATGTCCGAGAGCCAGAGGTGTTAAGGGAACTACGGGAAGAGACTGCTACAATGCATGGCAGCCAAATGCAGGTCTCTCCTGATCAAGCTCAGCTCCTTGCTATGCTTGTCCAGATTCTCGGGGCAAGAAGGTGCATTGAGGTTGGAGTTTACACCGGTTACTCATCCTTGGCTGTTGCTCTGGCCCTTCCAGAATCTGGTTGTTTAGTCGCCTGTGAGAGAGATGAAAAGGTTCTTAAAGTTGCTAGAAGGTTCTATGAGCGAGCTGGGGTTCTTCATAAGGTGCAGATCAAACATGGTCTTGCCATAGATACTTTAAATGCCATGCTTTTGAACGGAGAAGCTGGCAGCTACGATTTTGCATTCGTCGATGCAGAGAAGAAAATGTATACGACATACTTCGAGCTGTTGTTGAAGCTTGTGAGGGTTGGGGGTGTTATTGTGATTGATAATGTACTTTGGCACGGTAAAGTGGCCGATTCCTTGGTGAATGATTCCAAAACTGCTAGTCTCAGGAGTTTCAATAATGCTTTATTTGAGGATGAACGCGTAAGCATCAGTTTAGTACCAATTGGTGATGGCATGACAATTTGCAGAAAAAGATGATAATTTTCCAACATTTTTACTTATACTCTAGAGTTGCTCTATATTTTGATTCTCCTGATTTTTCTTTCCTGCTGAACTAACCATTATTATTACCGATATAATCATTATGGAAAATCGGTACATTCACCAAATAATTAGAGGAAAATTGATGGGTTGTACTATATATGGAAAGATTTCAAATGAGAAGAACCTTTTGAAACCTTCCTAATTAGGAAATGGGAAGAACACATACGATCAAATGGAGCACAATGTGTAATGAATCAATTACGAGTACGTCAAACCAAGTGTTTAATGAATCAATTACATGAACGTCAAGCCAAAGTGTTAATGAATCAATTACATGTACGTCAAGCCAAGTGTTTAATGAATCAATTACGTGAATGTCAAGCCAAGTGTGTAATGACAGACTAGCTTAAACTAGATGATTTCAATTTTTGGTGATTTTGTCAATATGTCACGATCATATTGATAGAATTTTAATTCATATAGTTTGTCAATTTATGAGAAAAATGGTCAAAGCATTAAAAATAAAAAGTGTCGGAAACAAGCGCAAAACGCGCCAGGTAGGGGTCGAACCTACGACCTTCTGCTTAGGAAACAGACGCTCTATCCACTGAGCTACAGGCGCTCTTAATAATAATTTGATAATATTAATCAAATTTATTCGAAATAAACGATATACTTCTAGATTCCCGCTAAAACAAATTTAAACTTCTTCGATTCAGAGCAACCTTTACGAACTGAAAGAGGAGAGAGAAAGTGAAGAATTCAGAACAGCAACAACAAAAATGGAGGAAAACATTAACAATTTCAATAAAAATCTAGCAAAATTTTGCAATAATCTTCAATCTACTTCTAGTGCTTTCAGACAATCCCTTGATCGTCGTCCAATTCCTCTCGGTATAATACCCATTTTCTCTCTCCTCTTTCTACTGGTTTTACCCTAATTTCTTCAGATTAAGTATTGATTTTATGCTTAAATTGCTAAATTATGCTGTAATTCTTCGATTTTGATGTTTAATTTTTGTGGGTGTTGCTCAGATTCGGCGTCGACCACTTTTATGCAATCCCTAAATCGTAGGGTTTCGGCTTTAACGGGGGATCTTAATTTGCTGGAATCAATGTCATTGGGAACTGTGTCGTTTGAAGAACTTCTGGGTCACTGCAATGAGATTTATAAATTAAATCATTCTCATCTTCTTCACCTTCATTCCCATCTTCAATCTTTGGGCTACATTTCCCAAAGTAATTTGATTATTTTTTTATTGAATATGTGTGTATCTTTGTTTGTTTGTTTTTATGGTGGAATTAGGGTTTTACCCAGATGATTTTTTCAGTTTGTAATGCAGATTGAGTGTTCAGTTGGGTATTAATTGGAATTTTGTTATGTGGGTTGATTTTAATATCAGGTGATGGAGTTGATGACCTTGAAGAGGATTTTATGGCTCAAAGTAGTAGTTGTAGTAATCCTGATCCTGAACCAGAATCACCGTTCCCGGCTTTACGTTATAGGTCTACCGCTAACAATGTGGATGCTGGTTCTTTGTATCCTTTCAATTCATTTTTAGTTTTTGTTTCCTATAGTTATGTGTGTTTTCATGATTGATTTTCGGGCTTGAATGTTTGTGCAATTGTGCAACTATTATCTATCTACGAGCTTTTGAATTTAAATGTAGCTTAAAAACTTTCAATTTGTTTTAATTATTTGTAAATATATATTGTGGTGAAGAATCGTTGTCCTTAACGAGTTTCAAGACTTGAAGGGTCTCCCAGCTTTCGAAACCTTGGATTATCTGAGATTAGTCTGGCTACACTTGCTTCTGGAGGTTAGTGGTCCACCATGCTTATCGTTTTGGAAAATTTGCTAATAGAAAATCTAGCATGTCCAGGCATTTGAATAGAAAGATAATGACGAGTTGCTTGTCTTTGCTTCAAATTTCTGTCCAGGGGTTTGCAAAAGTAGTGTGCCTGATAGTCCACCAAAGTAAGTTTGCTATCTCTTGCTGGCTCGTGTCAACAATTATTGGATTTTTGTCATTTAGCTCAGTAGAAAAATTATGTTCTACTTTATAATTTCAATAAACAGGTTACATCATAGGTTCGAGGTCCAGAACCAAGATAACCCAAACATCCTTAATACAGTTGCTGGTAATGTCTCAAACCTGTCAGATTGCTTCATTCTAACTGTCTTAATAATGCCGTAAATACTTTTCTGGAGAAAGAATTCTAAGGTAAAAACATATTAAAAAATCTTGACAAGTCAAACACCTTTCCTTTCTATACAGAAGAAGAGAGAGATGAACCCAAGTTACGTGAAACTTCAAATATGATACTTGTTTCAAATGAAGACTATGAAAGTCTGCCTTCTTACATGAAAAGTGTGGCTCCGTGGAAGGTATGGTATTTGTTATATACTTCTCATTGCGGATTCTGCTACATTGTGTACCTGACCCTCCATTGAATTGCCTTTGTCATTTGTTTGTGGTGTAGCTTTGAAGCTGAATTTTTTTTTTAATTTTTTTTCCCCCCCCGATAAGGCACTTAGCTAGTTAGCTTTGTCATTTGCTTGTATTGTAACTCCAAGCTTTACATTGCACAAATTTTTATTGATCTCAGGTTGTGTAACTTTTTCTTTAGTCTGGCACACCGTCTCCAAATATATGTAAAGTTTGTCATCTTTTGCAGGATCTACAATCTGCAGTTGATAAAATGAACTCATTCCTAAGCAAGAAGGGAAATAAGAAACAAAACACCTTCTTCCATCCTGAGGAACTTGAATCAATGGGATTAGGTAATTCATTTGATTTTTCTTTGATTTCTTTTCTCAAGAGTACATGTTAATGTCAATCATCCTCTGCTCATATCTATGTTTGGTTATGTCATTCATTACTTTGGTGGAGCTGCAGCAGTTTTGCAAATTCATTCAACCATGTTCTTTTCTTCTCTGCCCCAGCCCTGCATGGTGGTTCAGTGGATTACTTAATAGCTATAGTGTCCCCAATAGTGAAGCTTCACTGAGTGTCATTGGTCTTGAATTGAGTCTTTTGTATGACCTATAAACAAAAGTAAATTCTGAATTAAACTCTTAAATACTTCTGTTATCTACCTTTCATATAAAGCCCTAATGTTAAAAACAGCATGGTCTTTACCCAATCACTTTTCAAGGGATCACTAGCGCAGCTAGTCCTCTAAACTTCTCTCATGATTAGTAAGTTTTGTTCCAAAGCTAGGTCTGTGACAGGATTAAAATACATATAGCTAAAATTGCAGTTGTAGACATTCACAATTGTATGACTAACAAAGTTCAAATTAGGCACTTTGCTTAATCACTTCACCTTTAACCTGATTGCAGGGACTAAAGGAAGATCGTATGTCCTGCTCCTGGTGCGCATGAAGCGGCTGAATGTTGAGACTAATAATGGATTGATATCTTATAGAGTGCTGTAGAAAATCTGTCACACTTAATATATATATATAGGGAGGTGTTACAAGTATAAAACTGAAAAACACTCCAGTGATTGGCCTTCAATGGTTCCATAGCCTGCAACTTGGTGACTTCTGCTGGCTATATTCTGGTTTAATGTTTTCACAGAATTGTAATATCCGCAGAAAACTGTTAATTTCATAAGGTTGCTGCCCTGTTTGCTTCACCTTATTCTCTCTCTTTTTTTTTTTTTTTTTTTTTGATGAATTTACACAAAATAAGAAAATTTTAATTACTTTTGAAGTAAAATTTTACTTCAAAAGTAATTAAAATTTAGGAGTGGTTGATCTATATTTGAAGATTAAATTCTAGTTAAAGTTGAGCAAAAAGACTTATGAAATGTCTGCACCTTCTGTACGCCAATAATAAAAGACCACCTTCCTCCTATGTCCACCCAAAAGCTACTATGTACTACATTTGGGTCCGAATTCCAGAGATGGCATAATGCGCTTAAATTTTCAATCAGGAAAGCTTACCAGTGGAAATGTGAATATAGACTGTCTAATACTAAGGACCAGGACCAGGACCGTGACCATGACCATGACCTTGACCATGAGCATCTTTTTTTCAAATGTACAGAAAACTCTGCCCCAGCCAGTCAGTCCTCGTCTCATCATATGGGTGACTACGATTTCAATCATATGTTCTAGACACAACTCTTTCAAAAGTCTACAGTCAAAATAGGTACGGAGCACTTAGCATATCGAAAGGGAGAGGGTAGAAGATTGAAGGAATGGAAAACGAATATTGATCCATATTTTTTTGAATAGTAGAGTAGATCAAGTTATACACAATACGGTTTAGCGACTTGCAGCCTTTGATTATTTTCTTAGTTTAGTCAACCTGTCTGTATGGCTCAACAAATTTGGGTTCCAAGGGAGCCCTGCTAGAGGGTTTTGTCTGGGACTTTTACATCTTTTGTATTGTTTTTTCGTTTGCAATACAGTTCTCTGACTTGCAAAAAAATATGCTAGTTTCAGTGTTCCACTACAATGTGTACAATTTGTGATAACATACAGGAACAACACTCAAATTTCTTTAGAACACTACAAATAAGATATTCCCGGCAAAAGCAAAACATTTGATTGAAATAATAAGCACTTCATTGGATGTGTAATCAACTTAAACTACAATTCGCCGGTACTGTTCTCTTTACATAATCCTTAAAAATCAGGCATTCTCAGCCATTGCATCCAACCAGCCATTATACAAGACCCATAATATTTATGGCACTAACCCAAGAGTTAGGATTAAAAAAAAAAAAAAAGAAAAAAAAAGAAAAAGAAATGACAATACTATAACCAATTTACAAGCCTTTTCCAAAATCTTATATACTTCTAAAATTACATGAGACTCAATACAGTCACAGCCTCTCCTCTAAGATAACCAATGTCGAACAGGAGATAATCATCAGAAAAGCTCAAACAAGATTGCATGCACCAAGGGGACAGCCCTAAAACTGGGAAAATTCACTTCCATCACGCTGCTTGAAGCTGATTCCCTACAAATACATCATCCAATTGAAAAACAGTTAAAAGCATGCCTCTAATGTAGTTCCAGGTGTGCTATAGCCCATCCCTTTTTGCATATTCCATTTGATCCATTGGCGAAAAGGCATTAAATATGTTTTGCAAGTTTATGGCTAGCTCATCAAATCAGTTGTATATTTTTACTGGCTTCTCATATGCGTGACGATTCTGCAAAAGTAAATATACATAAACAATCACATTTCCACAAGTATCCAAACCAGGATTGAGGAAAACCTCAAGCGAGAAAATGAATTTAGCAGGGCAATACATTAAAAAAAAGGTAATCAAAGGTAAATTTTACCTGATTTGCTGTATAAGCCCTTTTTGGAGTAGTATCAGTATGTTCCAACCCCAAGTACTGCTCCCAGGCACCATAAACATCTCTCCTCTGTCATAATAATAAAAACAAACAAGAGAGAACTTCAGAAAATTTTGAAGCAAAATTAACATTAATGTCATACTCTCCAATATTAGACATACCATAGTACCTATTTTGGGAAAGTTTTTAACAAAATATAAAAAGAAATACTTTTCATCACCAAGGTGACAAAATTCTACCTTCACCCCCTGCCCTTGCATCACTATACCTCCAGCCCACCACTGCTATCTATATCCCACAAGAACCAGGAACTTGGTCGGAAGAGAAGAGATAGAAGAAAGGGCTCAAAAACCTCTACCTTTAATCCCATTGTCATTTAACAACACAATCTATATTCCCATACATATCATCCCTCTTACTATATTTATTCAGCTGACAATTGCTAAGGTGTAAATGGAGGAGTGGTGCTCCAAATGATAAGACTACTCAGTATAAAGATGGTACAATGGAGGGAGTGGTACTAAAAGCCTGGTAGGAGAGAGAGAAAGCTGTGGCGATGCAAGGAGTGCTGGAGTGAAGCTGAAAAGGTGAAGTTTGTTTTTATCATTTTGCGAGTTGATATAGTACATTGGTTATTGCTCCCTCCGTCCCATAATATAGTGCCCAACTCTTTTAGTGCGATCTTCAACACATACCTTTCACCATCATATTAACAAAAATTATGAAAGTTGATATTATCACTTCACATTAAGATGAACCTAACAATATCTCACGACTACATTTATCATACGTAATATTGAGAATTTTTAGTCAGTAAACTTTGGCCACAAATGAAAAAGGCACTATTATGGGACCCAGGGAGTGATAGTAATATTGTCATCGGAATAATTTTCCCAAACTACTTATATTTTTTAAATGATGCTCCAAACTTTCTGTACAAGGTTAAAAATGGAACAGCAGACTAGTTTTCGAGGACTCTCAGCTAACCTATTCTACAAAAAGTGTCAACCTCTGAAGACAATGAGAGAAAACGACAGCAGAGAAAAGATACAAAACCTGAAAACGGCTGGATACAATGTCAGTATCCTGCAAATACTCTGGCCGACCCAGTGACAAAAATGCAAACTTCCACTGCAGATGTAATATGGGAAAAAAGTTAGGCAAGGAACCATCAATGATCAATAATTGAAGAATTTGTTATCTTAAGATGTTCATTCAAAGCCATTAATTAACTTTACAAGGCAACCATTTTTGAATTTTGGAACTAAAAGAGTCTAGAGTAAAATGACTAGAAAGTAAAACTATAGTAGTTCCTCTTACATTGCTCAGTTAGTGGCGCAAAGGAACGACAACATACCTTGGAAAATTCTTCATCAGGAACACGCAACTTCTTCTGTATTCTCACTTTAATTTCAGCTAGTGTTTCACCTTCACGAATGACCAAGAAAAAGGGTTCCCCAAAGTTCTGCACTTGCTGAGACATAAAAAATACATGATCATCAGTATCACAGATGATGGACCAAACAAAAGTACCGAACCAATATATTTAGTATGCCGACCGATTGAGTTTCAAATCCATACCATCTGATTCTGTGCAGTCTCCTTAGTAAAATGGTAGACATGGATCAAACGATCATTAGGTTCAAGGTTCTTTTCATCTTCAGGGATCTGAAACCCAAAAAATCAATAATGTGAATCAGCACTAGAAATACACTCAAAAATGCAAATGTGATTGGTAAAAAGAGAATTAAAATAGCAATTTATGACAGAAGATAAGCAGTAAGATTTCAACAAAGAAAAAAACTACCTCCTCTGCACGCAACGTCCAGTACTGGTCATTTATATTTTCAATCTTTTCATTAGATGGAAAAATCTGCAACAGTAAAGAAGATCAGTTTGCTTTCCATAAGTGTTCATACATAACAAAACCAAAAATACTTTCTACCGTTAATTTCAAATCAAAAAACCAGCCAGATCACAATAGATAAGGCTTGAAATATCACAAGCTATACCTTGTAAATCTTATGGTAGAAAACTTCAAGTAATCTGAGCTCTGCATCAGGATGTGACAAATCCACCTGTTTCGCAAAGGAAAAAAAAAAAAAATATATATATATATATATATATATATATATATACATATGTATAAGTGGCAAAGGAAATCGTCACCTTTTTTTAATTGTCATGACATGCAAATTAATGTCATGCAATGCTCAAAGGAAAACAACTACAACCCCTAAATACATTCCACTTGAGACTAGGTTTGGCAAAGTCAGATGGACGCAATATGAGGACTAACAGTGGAAGTAACTAGCAAGTATTTAAACTGTTATAATGTTCAATATTCTCAAGCCTCCTTAAGTAACAGTCATTGCATGTAAATTAATGTAATAACAGCTCTCAGCAAAACAACTACAGCCGCTGGCTTTAGATTTGGTGAAGTTGCAAGGGGAGGCCATTAAGGTGGGGGGGGGGGGGGGGGGGGGGGGAGGGGGGGGGCTTTTTACAAAAATATTAAAAAATAAATAAACACAAAAAGCCCTCGGTTCCAAAATTATATACTAAGTAGCACTAAAGGTTTAGGATTAATGGAACTACTATGAACTTAACCATAAAGATTCCATAGTAACCTTTTGAGATTTTTTATTATATAAAAATATTATCCACCATCCTTTCCAGCAGCCACCACCACCCATCACATGCACCAACCCCTGGAGGCCAGAGGCTACCACAAGCAAATTTAGCCAAATTTCATCAACCACCACATCTTCCTTCAACTGAGCTTACCCCCGCTGCTGCCTCAAAAGACTGTTAGTTTTCCAACCAAACCTTATGATACATTGTCCATCAATACCCTTAAGATTTCTCCTGAAATCTCTCAGGAAGCATATAAACTTCATGCTCTTTCAGTTTATTATGGAAAGTCAATCCAACATCAGCAGCATTACCATCAGGCATATGATAACCTTTTGTTCCCAAATTCTTCATGATAATTCCAAATATCTCTTCTTGATAGTTCCAACTCTTCCAAGTCCAACAATACACCTCTGACGATTTCAAAGGTAGAGAAAGTAAAGAAATGCGACCAAGTAACAATGAAGTAACATAAAAAGATTGGTCTTTTTATACAATAATTACTTTAACTGACAGTCTGACACCCTGAAAATTGTTGATCCGATAGACCATTCATTTGTCATCAAAAACATCAAAGATATTCAAAGGACTTTTTTTTTTTTTTTTAAGAGGGGGGGGGGTTATGATTCCATAATTAATCTGAAATCCTACCGGCATTATTCTAAAAGTTAATCAAAAGCGCCT